CAAAGAGTTCTGACATTTGACACCTAAAGCATAATCTTAAAAAGAAAACTCACTTAACTGGATCTCAACAAATTTTTAAACTTTTGCTTAGCAGTAGACCCTGTTAAGAATGTAAAAACACAAATTACAGACTAAGAGAAAATATTTGCAAGTCACATATCTGACAAAGGACTTGTACTTAAAAAATATATAAAGAGCCCTCAAAACCCAGCATTAAAAAGACAAACCCAATTAGAATCCATTTCCTCAGGCAAGGCAAACAAAAGCAAAACTAAGCAAGTGGGACTACATCAAACTCAGAAGCTTCTGCATATCAAAGGACACCATCAACAAAATGAAAAGGCAACATACTTGAGAATATATTCATAAATGATATATCTGATAATGGGTTAACACCCAAAATATATAAATAATTCATGTTACTCAATATCAAAAAAAACCCCTACAAATAATCTGATTAAAAATGGGCAGAGGACCTGAATAGACATTTTTCCAAGGCGACATACAGATGACCAACAGGTACATGAAAAGATGCTCCACATCACTAATCATTGGGGAAATGCAAATCAAAACCACAATGAGATAATCACCTCACACCAGTTAAAATGACCACTATCCAAAAGACAAGAAATGTCAAGTGTTGGTGAGGATGCGGAGAAAAGGGAATCCTTGTATACTGTTGGTGGGATTGCAAATTGTTGTAGCCGCTGTGGAAAGCAGTATGGAGGTTTCTCAAAAAACCTAAAAATAGAAATACCATATATGACCCAGCAATTCATCTCCTGGGAATTTACCTGAAGAAAACAAAATCACTAATTCAAAAAGATATATGCATCCCTATTTATCGTAGCATTATTTACAAAGGCCAAGATAGGAAAGCAACCTAAATGTCCATTAAATGAATGGATAAAGAAGATGTGGTACATATACACAAGACAATACTACTCAACCATAAAAAAGAATGAAATCTTGCCATTTGTGACAACATGGATGGACCTACAGGGTATTATGCTGAATGAAATAATCAGACAGAGGAAGACAAATACCGTATGGTTTCACTTATATGTGGAATCTAAAATACAAAACAAATGAACAAACAAAACTGAAAAAGACTCATAGACACAGAGGAACAGACTGGTGGTTACCATGGGGGAGGGGAATACGAATGACAGATGGGTGAAATTGGTGAAGGGCAAAAATTAGTGAGAATGTTTGATATCTTTATCTGGGTGGTGATTTACCTGAGTGTGTACACATGTCAAAATGCATCAAGCTGTACACTAAAATTTGTGTATTTTATTGTATGTACCTCAATAAAAAAGAATTCTAAATGCAATAAATAAATAAATGCACAAAAATAAAATAAAATGTTTTCTTGATCCAATTTTTAGGACCTGGCTAAAGGCTGGTCAGTTCTTGAGCAGACAATTAAGCCTAACCCTCTCCCCAGCCAGCTCTTTTATTGGGCTGTCACAGTCCCACCCACTATACACCTGCTTTAATCATCCCAAGGCAGGGCACTAGTACCTATGCCCCAGAGCCCACTGAAATTATTCAAATTAGCCACTGTAAACATGTTTACCCTGCCTCACACACTCCTCCCTGCAGAAACCACAATAAAGTCGCTTGCCCTCAGTTTCCCCTCCCTCTGCCTCCTGACCCACCCTGGTGCTTCTCCAGATGGTCCCACATGGAGTACTGTGTTCTCACATTGAATTTTGAGTAACAAAACTGTAAAACTCTTGCTGTTTTTCTCTCTTGACCTGCATCTTGTCTCACTATATCTCACCCATGTTTAAAACATGCAGCCATTCCAGAAAACAGTGTGGCCGTTCCTTTTGAAGCTAAACATGGGGTTACCATATGAACCAGCAATTAAACTCAAGGGCCTTTATCCCAGAGAAGTGAAAACACATTTTCACACAGGAACTTGTCCATGTTTCAGTAGCTTTATTCATGAGCCCCAAACTAGAAATGACCCTAAATACATAGGATTATGAAGAAAGACAGTTATATTGAAATAAAGTTACCAAAATATTTAAAATGTCATGACACACTATTTACACAGTTCAAAAGCATATCACATAACAAGATCTACTACTGGTCAGGTCTGACATCTACCATATTTTCAAAGTAGTAAATGAGTGAAAATGGTACTTCAAGATACCCCCAACATTTTCTTACAGGATGATGTTTTAGAACTATATTGTGAATGTACTAAATACCACTGAATTGTACACTTCAAAATGGTTAATTTTAAGTTACATGATTTGCACATCAGTAAAGAAGAAAGAATTAATTGGGGGAGAAAAGATCTCCCCAACAGCTGTGACAGGATATGGAACTGTTGGGATGGGTTTCCCTAGGCACTACACATGCCACTGGTTCAAAGTGGCAGGAAATGGGAACATATTCCCATCTCTGGGTTCACCTCACCCCACCTTGAATTCAATCCACAGATCTCTTGGGGGTACCTGGACCACAGAATAAAAACCCCTGCCCTTGGGGGTGACAGAACCAAGAGAAAGAGCCCAAGTACCTGAATCTTTACGTGGAAGAAAGCCACCTGCTAAATGAGTTGTTATACACGCAAGAAATTTTCTGTTTATTACAGTAGCTTGTGTTACCTTGAGGCAGTACGTTCCCATTTCTTATTAAATTACTTCCAGTCAGGTTTCTATTCTAGAAACTGAATGGATCCTAATAAATTCAGAGAGTGACCCAGGAATCAAGTTATACAGAAAGAGGCCTGGGTCTTCTGTCACCGCAACCCCTCCCCATAAAGCCCCAGAGCCCCAACCATCTCTGGAAGGACCTGCATCCTCTGCATCTCTCCAGGTTTTCACCTTGAGCTCCACTGAGGATCCCCACGGAGACCACATGGGGGTTCTGGGCTGGCCCCCTGTCCACAGGGCAGACGAGGGTCTCAGGGGTCATCAGTCTGGGTACAGAGCCCATGTGTGTGTCCTCGAGATGAGCACCATTCCCCAGCTTGCCCACTGTGATTTCCCAGGGGCTTGGAAGGTCGGCTGATGTCAGTTTTGGGAGACCTAGGCCTCATTTACCTGTCTTGAACAAGAGTCAACTTCCCTTAAACTGTTTTTAGGCCAATCTCCCCAAGAAACATCTTTCAGACTTCCCTTCTAGTTCAGTCTCCTGCCATCACTCCAACCCCCAGTATTGTGTAGCAAGGAACAAAGAGACAAATTACTGTTCTTTGCTCAGGGTGGTATCAGGGATTAATCTGCCCTCTGGCCTCGAATACCCCTAGAGGCCCCCTACATGTGGACTTTCAGTCACAGGAATCAGTAAGTACACCCACCTATTAAACATGTTTGAGGAGGTTTGGGTTAGTTTTGTTTTGTTATTTAAGGCCAAAGCATTGTAATCAATTTATGCCTTTGGGAAGTGTGGCTGGGGTAGGGGCAGGGCTACACCATCCATTTTTTTTCCCTCTGGGACCCCGCCAACTCTTTCGATCTGTGCTTTGAGTAAGGTTGAAGACAATCCAGCTCCAGGGGAGGGCATGTGACTTCTCCCTGGCCAGGGTAGGACATTGTCCTGCACATGGGGTTTGGTTCACAGATGGAAATGAGAATCAGGCCCGTGACATTTGTTCAGCTGTTGAAGGAAGCTCTCGCTTTCTGGCTGGGCTTGAACCTTGTAGGGGCTGGCATTCATTCTGCTTCAATGTGGCCCTGACTGTAAAGTCAACATGGAGGTGAGCAGAGCTGACAGTGGCATTAGCCCCCAGACCAAGCTACACCTGAAGCTGGTGGACTCTTCCTGGCCTTTTAAAGCTATTTGAGCCAACGAATTTCTTTTTTCTCTTAAAGCCATTTCAGTTGGGTTTTCAGTCAATTGCAGGCTGATAGAGTGAACAAAGGACACTGCTGGGAGCTATGACTGGGACATGAAGCTTCAGCTACTATATGGGGCCCTATCTGAAGAAAATGGTGGCAAGGGGGCCTTGAGCCCAGACACTGGGAGACAGATGGCCAGGGTGTATACACTTCCTTGGCACTGGGTAGGAGTCACAGATCTTGGTCCCTGGCCAGCGAGTCTCTACCCTAAGAGGAGGCATTGGACCAGCAGAACTGAGTGGCTCCTCAGAGTCCATAGTTCAGGCTTACCAAGCAAATTCTAATAACCTATCTTTCCACGGGCTTTCCTACTGGGACAGGATGTGTGGCTCTGCCACCACAAACATTCTGGTCCCAGAGAGGTTCATCAGTCTGATCAACCCTGCCCATCTCTGGGCACCCTGGTAACTCCAGCTGCTGGACTCATAGAGTTATGCACCACAACCTACACAGAACCTGAGTCTGAATTCCAATGCTCCAGTCACATCCAGTAAATAGATACAACAACATCGGTGATCATGACCTTCACTTGGTTATCTTGGTTATCTTGATTATTTATCCACCCATCTATCATCTAATACATCCAGTTAGAACTATTTTGATTCCAAGCAACAGAAGCCCAACTCCAACTTTAGCAAACCATGAATTTGTTGGTTCATGTACCTGAGATAGGTTACAGGCTAAAAAGAAAAATGACCAAGAGCTACCAACTCCAAGCCGCCAAGATGGTCTTTCACCATCACTCTGTCCCCAGTTATATGGTGGGGAAGATGCACTGCCTGCCAGCAGTTCATACTGTCCTGGCTTAGCATCCAAAGGGAGCCATAACTCTCTTCCTACGCCCACATACCAATCTAAGATCAGCCACATGCCTGCCTTGGAGCCTGAAGGGCAAGGCTCTTGTAACAGAGGAAAGAAATGGAGAAGCCTGGGGTCGGGAAAGTTTCAAAAGCAACCCCAGTTGGCAGTGTGGAGGCAACAACATGAATCAGATTCATAGGAGCAGCCCACCCTGGCAGGGGAGATGATGACTGCACCATCTGCTGGGTAAAGGGGCTGGGAGCCAGAGGACACAGTGACCAGCTCTGCCAGGGAAGCCTTCCCAGAGGAGGGGTGAGCTAGAATCTGCTCCCCTGCTTCTGGCCTCCTCCCAGTCTCCATGAGGAATCATGACTTCCCCACTCTCAAACCCTCTGGCTCATGTGGGGCTGACCTCATACTTTGCTGCAGGGATAGAGTCAGGGCTCAAGCCAGGCCAATGAGAGCCTGCCCTGGGTTTTCTGTTGGAATGAATGGGCACGGGGTACTCTTTCTATCCAAGTCAAGAAGGTGGTAGAATCTAAGCCTGCAGAAGCTAGTGGCTGTCTTTCCTGTATGGTCAGAAATTTTGCATGACGAAGCCAGTGGGGGGGGGGGGCAGTGCAGCTGAGGGTGGAGGAGATCCATTCTTGATGACATGATGCGTGCGTGACCTTTTCAGTTATGTGACACCCTGCACACATAAATTATCTTTTTCAGCATAAAGCCTGTTTGAGTTGGTGTTTTATAACCTAAAAACCTATTCCTGCATAAGCCTTTTGGGAGTTGGGAGGTCTTTCCTAACATGAGAGGTACTTTGATGTGGATCTGGAAAGGTGAGAGGCACTCAGGTATTCAGAAAGAACAGGATGTGCACAGGCAGGGCCACCGTTGGTGACAAATGGCTCCAAATAAATCTGCTCTCCCTGTATGTGCATGCTGCTTCTGTGTTGCTTATGTGTCCTGTGTCTTCTTCTCTTGAATCTGGACTTGGCTGGTGACTGCTGTGGCCAACAGAATACAGAGGAAGTGACATTCTTCATAAGGTCTGGCAGCTTCTACTTCTTCCCTTTTGGAGCCCTTGCTTTGTAAGATGTCCAGCATAATCTGCTAGAGGGAGAAGCCATACAGAAAAGGGGGTCAGAGAGGCCTCAGTGGGGGGCCCTGAGGTGCCAGATATCCAGTCCCTAGTCATTACCTTGGGTACACGCATGAGAGAACCCCAGTGAGACCCACAGAACTGGCTGGCTAGGCACCAGATTGGTGAGATAGAGTAAAATCGTTGCTGTTTTATGCACTAAGCTTTTCGTTACCTATTTCCCTTCCTCCATACACATTGTGCTACTCATAAAAAGTAAATCCTTCTAGGCAAATTACCAGAAGGCACCCCTCTGCCCAGGTTGGAGCACAGGTTGCCAGGACGCACATTCACAGGGGTGGCAGAGACCCAGCTGGATGTCGGCAGCCTCTGGCCCGAGTCTGGTAACATTTTGTATGCCCCAAAGCCAGTGCTTAGTAGTCTGGGGTAGGAAGGCGTGAAGGGAGGCCCACAGCAGCAGGTCAGTCTGCACCGGTTTTATCCACCACTTACCCTTGCTGGCCTTTTGTCTTGCCCTGCACTTGTCCAGTGTCCCCTGGCTCTACAGGACTGTGTTGACACTGCTGATCTCTTGACACGTGTTAGGTAATGGCCTCCCAAGGCCATGCTGGGAAGAGCTCAAACAGCCTTTGCCCCTTGACCTTTTCCTTGCTCTTCCAGCTCTCCTTTGCTCCAGCGACAGCTACCCATCTCCCATCTCTTCTAGCTCAGACTTCAGTGAGGGGTGTCTCACTTCTTTGTTATTGTTAGTTCCTGGGACTGGTGTCACACTCACTTCTTCACGGTTGATCTTCCAGGAAAGAGCCAGGAGCCCACCTTAGTTTGCCATGTAGGCGGACAGGTAGCTGTCCCTACTCCCTCACACCATGCCCCGCCACATGCTTCGCTAATGGATTATTATTAGCAGTCTGTTGGGTGTCTCTCTTGCCCCTGATCTCTGAGCTCACTTGGGGCAGGGTGCGCCTGATTAATCTCTAGGCCTTGGCCCCAGCACAGGGCCTCCACCATCAATTAATGTGTCCTGATGCAAGCATCGTCAGTCAGCTCTGTCTTTCTCTGCTCACCTTCAATCACCCTTTGAATAGAATGTCTGGTTCTTCGAAGGCAGCCAAGGGCCCATTTATTCCAGCAAACTTGTCCCTTAATTTACTGGATTTAATGACGATTAATGGACCGACTCGAGTCATGAGTTAACTTTTTCTGCACATTTGAGGCAGGAAGAATTATGCGACTGTTCACGATGGACTGTCTCATCTTTAGGCAGATCAAGATACCGGCTAAGGTCACAAGTCTGAAAGCTTATCCCTATTTCCACGTGATTGACAGGCCCAACGAAAGAGAGAAAGATCGGGAAAACTGAGGGAAGACGGGAGATAAGAGCGGACAGTCCGAGACAGAAAAAGAGCTGGGTGAAAGACGGGGCGGCGTTAAGAGCAGAAAGACACGACGCGGCAAAAGAGCAGCGAGCAAAGCGGGAGGAGAGGCGGGAGCGCCGGCCGCGGAGCGCGCCGGGGCGGCTCACCGCCCCCAGCGCGGGGGTGAAGGGGCGGGGCCTGGGCAGCGGCGTGCGTGGAGCGACCCCCCCCCGGGGCCAAATGGTCGCGCCCGGCGGCGGCGGCCAATGGGCGGCCCGGATGTTGGAGCGGCGGCGGCGGTCGGGGCGCTCGCTGGCTGGGGGAGGCGGCTGCCGCCATGATGCTTGTTTGCTTTCAATGAAAACGAGGGGGGCGCGGAGGAGGAGGCGTCGGCGTCGGTGTCGGCGGCGTCGGCGGCGCGGAGGCGAAGGCGGCGGTGGGCGCAGCGAGGAGGGCGAGGCCGGCGGCCGAGAGGGCGGGAAGGCGTAGTGGCGGCCCTTCCGGGAGGCTGAGGCGGGCGGCCGACGCGGTGGCGCTCGAAGGGGGAACAAAGAGCGGCGGCTGAGGCGGCGGAGGAGCGGCGGCGACGGCGCTGCAGCAGCGGGCGGGACTGGTATGGTGTTTCCACAGGTCAGACCCCGCTGCACTCACAGGGAGGAGGCGGCGGCGGCAGGCAGCGTACCCCGAGAGGTAAGCGAGACGGACCCAGCCCCGGACGGCGCCGCTCCCCGCACCGCCACGCACGGGCCACGCTCGGTCGTGCCCTCGGGACCGGAGCGCGCGGGCGAGGGCAGAATGCCCGCAACCTGGCGGAGCTGGCGGGTGTTGGGGGCCCCGGACGCGCCGCGGTAGCGGTCCCGCCCCTTCCAGGGCCGCGCCTCCGCGCCCAGTCGGCGCGGGCGGGGGGCGTTGATTGACGGCGGGGGCGCGCGAGGGTCGGGGGCGCTCTGGCTCTGCCCCCCGAGGTGAGTCGGGGTCCGGGACTCGTGGCCAGGACGGGTGGCAACTTTGGAGGAGTGGTTTTGTGGGGTTGCTGCTGTGGAACTTCGCAGTCACTGCAGAGCGGGAAACCAGCTGCTCACCCCGTACTCCAAATGCATTTGCAGTTCAGTTTAAAGAGTTTTGGGGGGGCGATTGGGGGTTGGAATGACATGGTAAAAGACGCACTTAGCCCTAGATGAAGAGATTCATGGTTTTGCTAAGGACTCGAAGACAGTCCTTATTACGCGAAGCAGTTTTCGTCTGTAACTTCATCTCTCCTCTTTATTTCTAAACATCAGTCACTGTGCTCTTTGAAACTGTTTTCTCTGATTTTTTTTCGTCCACCTTCCCCAAACAGCCTGCTAATAACTGTAACCTTTTCTTTATAACTGCTACTGCTAATGACAACATTGTGAATGGATGTCTTGCTTGCCTTCTCTTGGACTTGTTACTGTGTTCAGCTGCCGTTGTTTAAATAATTTGCTTGTGTTCTTGTCAGTTTTCCAGGTGGAATGTCCCATTAGTGCTCGTGTGGAATCTTCTTGACTCTTATGTGTCTGGGGATTAAATTTTGGAGAGGCAAAGAGCAAATATGAGCAAGTGAAAAGTAAAATGGCGTGTAATAGCACTTTGTATTGTTCACAGTACAGGAGGCTGTAGGAACTGAGAGGGCTATTGATCAAGATTTTGAAAACTCTGTAATTGCTATCACAGCAGTTATCACAGTCTTTAGAATGTGATCATTTTTAGGATAAAAAGTGCTTAATATTTTTAGACCTATGGTCTAGTCCAGTCGCCTTGCTTCAAACGAAATATTTGAAAAGCTGCTGATGAGGAAACAGACCTAGAAAACTTAAAGCAGCTCGCCCCAGGGAGGTGGGAAGGACCAGGTTTTGTGTGAATGTACGCTCACATGGGGGTGTGGTGTAATTGCTGGAGATTAGTTTTTTTTGGAGGGTAAAGGGTGTTTTAATGGATAGGAGATGTTTGAGGTGGTTTGAGTCTGGTCAGTTGTCAGTAGGTGAACAAGATGGATATGGTGAAAAATGAGGATGTCACAGAAGACAAACATTTTCTTGTGAGACTCAGAACATTGACTCTGAACATCCATCCTGTGTGGTTTGGAAGGTGTCTTGATCAGTAGTAATGTAGATGAAGTTTCTTTGAATGCCTATTTGATTTGTAGGTATTTTCAGGTTTCTTAAATCTTGGTGGCAAAGTAAAATTAAAATTATTGGAAAATTTCAGACTATTTTCCTCTGAACAGGCATGAGGTTGGTTGTAGAACTTGGTCCTGACTTCAAATAAAGTCATTGTAGAAATTTGCCTAGTGTACCTGTAGTTGGTATTTATTTTGGTTGATCCGTAGGCATCCCACTGTACCTGTATTAGCCTTCTTGTATTCTTTAAAGTGTAAACCTTCGTCATAACATAGTGCAACAGAGGGATAATACACAGTCTCTTTCTGGAATACTGGAATAAATGGTCAAGGCTGCTCACAGCTATAGCCATTAGGCCAAGGGGACTGAGGGGACCAGTATCTTCAGGACACTTGTAACTTTCCCCTATGCAAGGTACACTGGTTGAGACGCTCTGCTTTTAAAGTGTTTATTACTTCAGAAAAGTCCAGGCACATTCAGCCAAGACCATGTATCTTAATGGAGAAAGGACTTAGGTTTGTGGGGATGCAGTGCTGTTTACATTTTTCTTTTAATTGGAACTTAATGTTATTTAGAAAAAAGTTCCAATTTTAACTTTCACATGCTTAGCTTCCACAAAATCCTCTACTGATGTACTTTTTTGTTTAACCTTACCTACCTACTTTATTTTAGGAAGGTAGCCATTACAGTGTGATTAATAAAGCATTCTGTGTGTGAAATTAAGAAATGCTGAGTAATTAAACTAAACTTTGCATCAGACTACAATGGAATGCACCCTATTTTGGTATTTGAATAAATAATCAGAGAGGAGATTATTTGCATCCAAGGTGGGGACTCAATGAGGCTGCATTAACCTTGCCCAACCCTGGGCTTTACCTCTCCTTCATCCATTTGTATTTTCTTGATAACCCAAGTTAGGTGTCAAGGAATAGTATATCAGGCCCTGAGAATTCAAAAATGAATACTACTCTGTTTCTACCTTCTTGTAGTCTCAGGCTTAGTAGGTAGGTGTACAAAAGGTTGTGGGAGAACAGAAGAGAGAATGATTCAGTCAGTGGAAAGTGTGGGAGCAGTTTACAGAAGTAACAGAATAGGTGTTTATCCAACTGGGGCAAAGGCGTCATTTCAAACAAGGTACAGTGGGCGTGTTGAGGTGCCAACTACTAGGGTAAGGCCACTGGTGAGGTGTTACTGGAACAGGGAGAGTGACTAGAGATGAGCCTGCAAAGGTGTGTCTGGCCTAGATTTTGAAGGACTGTGTTTACTCAGCTAAAAGTGAGATTTGTATCTTCATCCTATAGCAAAAGAGGGAGCCAAAATATTTTCAGCAGGAGAGCAAGGTGATTTAGAGATATCACTTTGGCATTGGTGTGGAGGGACTGAGTGGAGGCCCCACATGTAAAAAAAAGTCACATTTGAGATTGTGTGGGGCTAGTGACTCCAAATCTATTTTTAACTTGAATATAGTGTCTCTTGTGTCTTTGGCCCCTTGATAGTATGGACTTGAGGGCTCTGCCCAGCTGTCCTATAATACAGGGTAATTTAAAATCAAAATGTCAGGATGTTTTGGAAGAAGTTAAAAGCAATCAAAATAATAAAACCCATAGAACGGTACACTTGAAAGTTCAGGCATTGAGAACCCATCTTCTGAATTAGGCTTAGGCAGATTGTAGAGATTAAGCTGGAAAAATCAACCCTCTGCTCACCACACGTGAGAGTCACCAAGCCTAAAGGGTATGACTCTCCTAATGGTCTGTTGGAATATGGGCTGTAAACATTTTATGAAATCTGGGGGGAGGGCAGAGTTTTTGCTCCAGTAAATTATTACAGTTAGAATATTGAAACTTCTGTACAGCCTAAGAGCTCCTCATACAGCTGTTAATTTACATAATCAGTTATGCTATAAACATCACATGTATTCCTAAAAGCCACTATGGTATGCAGAATTGTGCATAAAAACTGCCGGCCTTACAGGGAAAAATGGGATTGGAGCACAACAAAAGCTTTGTCAGTGACTTAACTTTATGAGAAGGAACCTAATGAAAATGTAGTACAGTTTTAAACATGTGAAGTGGTTAAGGAATACTTAAGTCCTAGGGTAAATGTAGTACTTTGCCTTGAAAAAGACCTGTTTGGCTTGCGGAAATGGAAGTGGGCATAATGTGGAATTGCTGCTTGTGACTTATTATGAAGTGGTGACAGGCAGGTTACCTGAAATCAAATGGAATGTTACAACCACCCCAGACGACACGTGGTGAACTGATGCAGCTGGTAGGTGTTTGAGGTGTGTATTTTGTATGTGTCTACAAAGCTCAGTTCAGCTGGGTGCAGTTTTAGTGTCTTTTGCAGACAAAATTGTACATAAGCAAATGGGAATTTTGCTTTATGACGCTGAAACAAATTCACATTTTCAGAACATGGGATTTAACAGAACTACTTATACTTGAATACTAGTACTAAAACTCAGTTCCAAAAATAGTCAGATGCCCATATGTCAGGTGCCATGTATAGACTTTGCTACCCTTGTGGGGCTTACAGTCTTTTGTCCTCAGTGGCTGTATAGTGGTGTAGAAAGACAAGTGAGCCAATGAAGCACTCACCAGGTTATATAGTAATGAGGAACATACAAAGTAGTTAGCACATGCTAAGAAAGGAGCGACTACTTTTGCTTGGGAAACTTGAGGGAATCTTCTCAGAGGTCTTAAAGCTGTTTTGAAGGGTGAATAGGGGTTTGTTGGGCTGTACTGTGAAATACAGGATGCAAGGATGTGAGGGACAAGAGAATTGGCCACAAAAACAAACACTTTGTGAGTAGTCTTAGGCTTTTGCTTAAAGTGTGGGATTTCCATTATATATAATGAGGATCCACTGAGAGTTGTTAGGTGGATAGGGTGGGGAAATTGTGTGTTTGACATACCTTTCAGGAGACAAACAGTAAAAATGTGGAGGTGGGATTAAAGGGGTCAGACTGGGGCCAGAGGCTCACTTACATCCTCTGTGAGAAGTCCAGGATATCAGCATAAGAGCTAGAAAAGCATAGAATAAACTTGATTGAAAGATTCCAAAACTGGGAGCAGATAAGCACTGCGTTATAAAATTAGGAAAGAGTTCAGGCCAGAACAGAAGTTCTTCAGCTTAGGGAACTGTTGATATGATTTGATTTGGAACATAGAGGATCCTAGAAGAGCAGATTTGGGCAAGAAAAGTGGAATAGTTTTGGTTCTCAGTTTGACACATGTGTTGGATATTTCAGGTGGATATGTCTAAAATAGGTATATGGACTAGAGAGTGGTTGGGGATTTTATAATTTGGTCATTATATAATTGGTGTTGGAAGTTAGGAGATCAGTCTGGAAGAATGTATGAACAAATGCTTTTCACCTTTTTTGAGGGGAGGTAGGGTCCCCATTTGAGAATCATGTGAGAATTATGGCCCCTGCAGAAGAGAATGAAAGTATATCATACACACACATGTGTGAAACTTACTCGTGGACCACAGGTCAGTAGAAAACAGAGAGAGGAGAGGACCAGAGGAGCCGTTAGGAATAGCCAGTGTTGCATTTTGGACAGGACTGCAGTGAAGTGGTTAAAGAGGTAGGAGAACAGGAGGGCGCAAAGTTAGAGGTGCTGGGAGAGGTAAGAGTGCCCAGCAAGACGAAGTTTTCATTGGTGACAAGTGGTGCCCAGTTTAGGGTAGGATGCTCTCAGAGCGGACTGATAGAATTTGGCCATGAGCGAATATAAATAGAATTATTTTTCCTGGAATCAGGAAAGTAAACATTGGATTGTAGGTTGGGCTGGGAACAAATGGGAGATTAAGATGAAAAAGTTATATAGACTGCTGTTTGGGAAAATTTAAAGTGGAGGAGAAGGAAAAAGGGTAATAGTTGAAAGAGGAGGAGACAGGGTTGAGAGAAAACAGGCACCCATGTTAGTTGCCAGCCTTCTGTTTCCTTTAAG